CATCTTTTCCTTCCCCTGCACTGGGCTTGCCTGTGCTCAACTGATGGCAGTGGCAGATTACCACACGGGTCAATGTCCCCTGGGCTCCTGGTAGCAGTTCCCTCTGGGGCAGGCGGCCAGTGGGCAGGGCGGCCTGTGCCACAGCAGCACCACCATGTTGGGCGTTGGGCCGCCTCCACCGCGGGCAACCCCAGCATTTCTATCTTCGGGATCCCTGTAGCAGCAGCTGAAACTGGAGACCCGTTGTGGGGCTGAACGGGAGTCAGGGGAAACCTGGAGCGGGGAATCCAGAGTGGAGTCAGGGTGGGGGAGAAAATCCGGAGCCCAGAACATAGCAGTGCCATGGAAGGGAGGAAGGGGCTCCCTGGAGTGCTGGAGCTGAGCCCAGGGCATGGGGAACCAAGGCAGACACAGTACACCAGGGACATGCATGGGGGGAGGAGGAGGAAGCAGGGGTATGGGGCAAGCAGGAGCACAACACCCTCTGGGAGTGGGGCAGGCAATGAGGGGGTCAGTTGAGGGGGGAGCACAGGGTTCCCGGTGGTCACGGCGGTCCCTAGGGGGGTGGAGGCCTGGGAAGGAAGTGACGTCACTTCCGGGACCGACCGTGCTGGGAGCGGGTAGGGGAGGCAGTGCCTCCCCAAACAGGCAGGTGTGGCCCCGCCCACACTCCACCACCACCACCACCCCTGGGCCCTGCTTCGGTGGTGCCGCTGGGCTCCAGGGGGCTGGGGCCACACTGCCCGCCTTCCTGGGGCCTGGGAGGCTGCGGTGGCACCACATGCTCTCCCGGCACTCCAGGGCTGGGGAGATTGCAGCGGCGGCACCACGCGCTCCCCCTCCCGGCACTCCAGGGCACACGCTCTCCCTCGGGTAGAAGGGGCAGGGCTGGGGGTGGCCTCCCCCAGCCAGCAGTTCACCCACCCTCCATGCGGCGCTACCCAATCGCACCAGCCTGCAGGGCCCCCCAAAGTGCAGCCCGGAGCGGTCACCCAGATTCGCCATCCGCTAGGGACAGCTCTGCCAGAGGTGGTGGGAGCACAGGATAGTTTGCTGTGTGGATGGGTAGGAGGTGGGAGCACAGCATCCCCAGTGGGGCTGCAGTGGGGTTACTCTAGCCCCAGGGCCATGGAGGGAGCACAGAACATGCCCCTCCAAAAAGGGTCAAATTTTTATTCCTGCGGAGCACAGAGTCCATAGTAAAGCTACATGGCTGGCAGAGAGAGGCTGATGGCTTGTCTCTATTGCCACCCTCGCCCCTTTGCCAATCCTAAATCCTGAGCTTGGTTTACAACTCATGGGATTCGATAAATACAATGTGTGGATTGGTCTGTGAGATTTAAATTCTGCTTTGGTGTGTGCCCCCCAGCAGCCCCTTCCTGCTGGTCCTTGGAGAGGTGATGCTACTTGTTCTCCCCTAACTCGTGGGATTGGGGAGCTGCCATTCTAGCCCCGCTCTTCTCACTGCCTTGGCCCCCTCCCAGTATCAACCTCTCACATTCTCTCTCTCATCCCCCAGAGGTTCCTGTTCCCCACCACCACCCCCTACACTCACCTGCACTCCCTTCCCCCTCCCATTCCCACTCCTTCTCCCTGGCCCTTCTTAGCTCCCCTTCTGGACCCACATTCTCTTGCATTCTCCTCTGTCTTCTCCCACACCTCAAGCTCCCCATCCCTCCTTTGCTTACCACCTTTCCTCCACATTCCTCAGCACACCCCTCAGTCTTCCTCCTGCTCTGCAGAATCCCTCTGACCCTGCTACATCTTCATATTTCCCAATTCCCTCTCTGACAACCTCCTCCAGCCCCTGCACATCCTCCTCTCTCCCTTCTGAACCCCCATTTGATATGGGGGGTTTATATGTTTGTATTTTTCTTACATAATGTGATAATATTAAAATATAAATGTAATGGGTACATAAGAGAGATATTTACAGTATATTAAGTGTAGCACATTTTTTCCATTGCTATGCACAGATGATACTGGGACTGATACGCCAAGTCTGGCTGTAATTAGTTTCCAAAGCTACTCTCAGTTCAATAGATGGTGGTGAAAAGGACATTTGATGGGATACAACTCACAGAATCAAAATAACATGTAATCTCTTTTAAAGGACAGTGAAACTTTAAGGGCATGCATGGAGTTTTTGTATTAATGCATTTTGATACATTCATGTTTTACTGAGTGTGGGGGCCCAAATATTCCTTGTGCCCATGGCCCCAATAAATCTTAATCCGTTTCTGACTGACGGGACTACAGTGAAGTCTCAAACAGTCCTGGCTTATGGCAGCTGGAGCCCCCACTTGTGTGGTCACCATCCTCCTTATTCTCCTCCTCTTTGCTGTTCATGCCAGGGGCCTGTGACTCGGGCTCCTCGGAGGTATCTACAGTGTCTGAGAGTGGTGCTGGGGTCTCAACCAAGTATGGCATGTAACTCTTTGTAAAAGCAGTAGGTCTGTGGATTGGCACCAGATTGACTGTTAGCCTTCCTGGCCTTCTGGTACGCCTGCCACAGTTCCTTCGCTTTCACACGGCACTGCTGCTGATCCCTGTCATACCCCTTTTCCTGCATCCCTCATGCAAACTGCTCATAGATGTCCACATTTTTAAAGCTGATCAGTAGCTGTACCTCTTCTCCCCACAGTTCCTGAAGATCCAATATTGCACGTCTGCTCCAGGCTGGAGTGCACCTGAAGCGTGTAGCTGGCATAGTTGGGCTGGGCAGTTGTACACAATGGTGGAGAGCTACTAGGTGTGCACAACAAGCTGGATAATCAGGGAATGGGAGAGGGGGGACTCCACAATGAGTAACTGCTACAACTAGCAAATTCCTAGGCCACTGTCAGCAGAAGCGCAGAAGTAAGGGTGGCATGGTATATGGTGTATTGCCACAGTTACTTCTGTGCTGCTGCGGTGGCTTGTGGTGCCTGGCGTTTGGCCTGCGGCTCAAGGCAGGCTTGTGCTGTCATATGGGGGCTGCATCTTGACACAGCCCAATGCCCTCCTGCAGTCCCTAGCCACTCCTGGCTCACCACGCGAGCATTTTGACAGGAAGTACTAAGCAGTAATAACAATAATAATACGTGTGTGTGTGTCTCTCTCTCTCTCTCTCTCACTCACTCGCGCGCACACACACACACACAGAGTCTGGCTCTCACACCTACTTACACTCTGATTCTGAGTCCCCCAACACAGATTGTCTCTCACACACGTTTCACACTCCCCAACACACACACAGTTTCTCTCACACACAGACTGGCTATCACACCCACATACACTCTGTTTCTATGTGGGTGTGAGAGCCAATCTGTGTGAGAGAGAGAGACTGGGGGGGATTGTGAGGGAGACAGTGTGTGTGTTGGGGAGTGTGAGACTGTGTGTGTGAGACAATCTGTGTTGGGAGACTGAGAGACAGAGTGTATATGGGTGTGAGAGCCTCTGTGTGTGTATGTTAGGGAAGTTTGAGAGACAGTGAGCACACTGTCACTTTAAGTTTCCCCTTTGCCGCTGCTGGGCCCGGCTCCCCACCCGATCCCACCCCATCCCACTCATGTGGAAGTTTCGCTTCTCCTGGCCCCAGCATCCGCCGGAGACCGAGCAGCGCAGGACCGCAGGCAGGAAGGGACTCGGCTCCACTCTGGGCAGCGAGCAGTGGGCCGTGCCACCAGTGACCGGCCCCGGCCGCGACACTCTGGGCTCCCCAGGGCTGGGGCAGAGCCGGAGCCCTCAGCCAGCCGGCTGAGGAATGAGGGAGGGAGGGGGCAGGGGCAAGGAGAAGCCCGCCAGCCCAGCACGGAGGAGGGGCCGGAGAAGAGAGGAGTACGGTCACAGCCAGTCTTGGGAAGCCCGAGCCTCTTGTGGCACACCTCTGGCTACGGCGCCCTGGGCGTGGGCCCCATTTGCCCAGCACGAAGGCCGGCCCTGGGAGTTGACGTAGCTTAGTCGACTTACCCCGGTGTCTTCACTGCGCTGAGTCGAAGGGAGACCAGTCACCTTATCTTACTCTTCTCGGAGAGGTGGAGTACTGGGGTCGACCGGAGAGCGCTCTGCCATCTATTTTAGCGGGTCTTCATTGGGGGGGGAGGGATAGCTCAGTGGTTTGAGCATTGGCCTTCTAAACCCAGGGTTGTGAGTTCAATCCTTGAGGGGGCCATTTAGGGAACTGGGGTAAAAATCTGTCTGGGGATTGGTCCTGCTTTGAGCAGGGGGTTGGACTAGATGACCTCCTGAGGTCCCTTCCAACCCTATGATTCTATGACTAAGAGTGATCACTTTGTGAAAAGCATTTGCCCACAGGCAATGTGGTGTGTTTGTCTTTTATATTTTGTCTTTTATGAAAAATATATGAAAATATTTGATACAATTTTTCTGATAAAATATAAAAATATGATATGTTTTGTCTTATATGACAATATACAAAATATATATGAATATTTTGTCTTTTATGATAAAATATTTATGCTAAGCAATTGGATCCATCTTGTATTTAGCTGTGACACTGAGTAAGTTTCCCAGACCTGAAGAAGAGCTTTGTGTAGCTCGAAAGCGTCTCTCTCTCTCACCAACAGAAGTTGGTCCAATAAAAGATATTACCTCACCCACTTCATCTCTCATTTGGAACATTAAACCAGATAAAATGTACAAAGCACTAATTAAACATATAGTAGGGGGAAACTTGCTTTGGCAAGGGAGTAGGCTAAAATGACCCAGTAGTCTTTTTTGTTTTGAAATCTTTTAGAAAAATTACCGGTAATATAAATATATGTAATATATAATTTTAAAATTAATAAAGTAACTCTTTGCTAAGTGCTACCTTATATGTGCTCTGGGTGGCACTTGCCTTGGTCTTCAGGTTTTTCTTGCTTCCTATTTAAAATGGACTTAAAGAAGATTTTGGAGGGGGAACGAAACAAGCTCAGCTGTTGATATAGAAAAGTATGCATGTTGGAATGAGGTACCCACTGAAAGTACCCATTGCTGTCTTTGGTTGGTGTTTGAAGGTGGAGAAATGCCTGTCCCATCAAAGAGCGAACTGGATGAGTTACAGGAGGAAGTGGCAAGGAGGGCGCAGGAACAGGAGCTACTCAGGAAACGGGAAAAGGAACTGGAGGCAGCAATGGGCTTTAACCCCCGTCCCAGCAGGTTCATGGACCTAGATGAGCTGCAGAACCAGGGTAACTCTCACAGACTGGATGTGGCTGACATGGGGGTGGGGGTTGTGTAGGTTTGGAGTACAGTGTTGCACATGTGGGAGATGGGGAAAGTGTTTTAGGTCTTTTGATTTTTCCATTAAGAGTCTCTTGCTTTTTCTTCCCCGTGACAATTTTACAATTACTCAATAGCTTTCTCCAGTCTGTGAGACAAAAGACAGTCTCCGAATTTATCAGAAATGTGAGAAACAGGAAGAGAACGGTGAACTTGTAATGCCCAGGAATCTAATTTGAAGAAAAAAAACCCTAATTGTATTCTGCCCAAACACCAAACTCTACCCATGTGAGACACCAAAATAAGGCTTGATCTACACTTAAAATTTTGGTTGATATAGCTATGGCACTCGGGGGCGGAGGGTGATTTTTTCAAACGCCTAAGTGCCATAGCTATGCTGACCTAACTCCTGGTGTAGCTGCAGCCAGGCTGATGGAAGAATATCATCTCTCAGGAAGATGGTGTCCCTACAGTGGTAGAAAAGCCTTTTCCATTGGTGTAGACCACATCTACACTACAGGGTTATCAGGCATAGCTAGGATGCCATATCTGAGTAACTATAGTTCCTATAGTGTGTGGACATCTCCACTTGCATGAGATCTTTACATTGTTTGTGCTTCTCCATTCTTGCATGGCGATCAACAGTGCAATAGTTATCAATGTTGACCTCTAAATTGTTGTCATAAGGCTTTGGCTAATGACCTCTTGAAATGAATAGGGCAAATCGCAGCTCTTCGATCTATCTTCTCAGACTGTCTACAGAATCATGCAGGCATCCGTACATCAATTATGATTGGTTAATAGTTTTAAGTGTCTGTTCACAACCTTAAGAGTTACTGATTTTAACTTTTTTTAAAAAATTAACACTCAGATTCTTGAACACAAGGCTGCAGCCTCCATTAAAAAAATCCACTTCACTGAGTCACTGGGAACAGTCCCAATTTGACCCTGGGTAATGCCCCACTAAGCACATTGTTAGACACATCTAGCTGTTTAGCATTTCCTTGTTTAAAAAAGCAAAGCATATTAGAAAGGCACTTAACAACAAAGAGTGCTATGCAGTACTTAGGGGTCATAGCCTTTGACATGATTGCTAAGGAAGCTAGATGGCTCCTAAACCTGCTTTCATCCTGGATGGTTCCCACAATGCTTTATGGCTTCCTTATGAACAAGACTCCAGAACATTCCTGACCCATTCTCCCTTCCAGTACATGGTTTTACCCATGCAAAGGAGGCCAAGTTCAGAATGCTGGAGTCTGGTCTTCAATTCATGAACCTTAAAGGCCACACGGTTTGACTATGAAGATGCTGCTGTGTTGACTTACTGATCTACCGGACTTCTCCTTCACATTCAGCTCATGCTCATTTAAAAGGTTTCTCTGGAGTTCTTAAAATAAGAAGTGTGTATGGTAGTGAATTGTATATTACCCAGGTCAAGGAGGCTTTATTTTTTGGTTGAATGAAATATTAATTTTTATAATTATCTGTCATCATGATAAAGGGCAAATGAGCAGATTTTTGCTTGAGCTGGTACATTTTCATGAGCAATTTTATAAGCTGTTCTTATAAATGGCACTAGTCCTGTTGTCCTTAGGCCAGAACACCTAGTTTCTCTTGAGCTTGCCTATTTTCTTATGTTTTCAGGGGTTATCACCCTTCTTTTTTTCCCTTTTTTCAAAGTTGTTCAAAAACAATTTGTGGGTCTTTTCTCCCCGTTCTTAGATCCTTCCCCGTGTGTTCTGCTCTTTCTTCTCCTCCTCCTAAAACCACAGGACCATTGGGCTTCAGCTCTCCAACGGCTTCTTACAGTTGTCAATGCGCGCACACAAACTTTGTGCATTTGTGAACAAGAGGCTCTTGTATTCATTTACATTCTGCTGAGTCTCATATGATTTCCCAGGCACCTCTGAATTGTTTCAGGTGGAAAAGCTGTGAGGGAGATAACTGAATAGTTTGGAGGAGATGACGACAAATAATTGCTGGAAAGGGACCTGTAAGCATGTAACACAGTTTGGTCACAGCATGCTGTGACCAATTTATGACACGCATACTGTACCCTATGTTTTTTCTCTGTGCAGCAGTAGTTGCTTTTGACAATTTTTGAAAAATCCACACCCCTGAGCAACATTAAGACGACCTAAGCCCCCTGCGTAGACACCGCTAGGTTGATGGAAGAATTCTTTCATCGACCTAGCTACTGCTGCTTAGGAAAGTGGATTATCTATGTCATGGGAGAACCCCTCCTGTCGGCATAGGTAGTGTCTCACTGAAGTGCTACAGCCGTGCTGCTGTAGTGTTTTCAGTGTAGACAAGCCTTTGGGCTTGCCATAAAACAAAGGATTCTGTTTCCAAAAATTTTTAAAGTTTCAACATTTGTTTTCATTCCCCTTCAGAACAAAAACTAGACTGAATTTTTTCTCAAAACCCAGTCACTCTTCAACGCCCCCTCAGAATAGCCAGTAGCCCAGTGCTCAGGCATTCAGCTGAGATGGGGGAGACCCAGCTTCATCTCTCTGCTCTGCCTCATTTAGGTCAGGGACTTGAAGCTGGATCCCCACTGTCTCAGGTGAGTTCCCTAACCAGTGGTTATTGGCTATTCTGGGGCGGGGAGCGGATATGTCTCTCTCTGTCACTTTCACCAGAAATTCCATCCTGGACCTGAAAAATCATCCTGAAAAAATTTGAATCAAAATAGATATGTTTCTGCAACAAGTTTGTTCTGACTAATCAGCACGTTCTGACAGAAAAGCAATTAATCAAAAAATTCCGTTAACAATCACATGAATAAGTCACTTTAAGAGATTAGCCACAGGCAATCTCAACAGCAAAGTAGTAGAAGTAGCACTGATTGGAATTTGGAGATATAATGCTGAAGTTTGCTCTGTTACCTTGGTGTAAATTGGAAGTAACTCAGCTGAAGTCAGTGGATTTACATGGTTATATCAGAGTCCTGCCTACAGTAGAAAGCTTAACATAAGATGTGATTTTTAAACAAACTAAGTTAAACACGGCTCTCTGTGTTAGACACACTTATTTCAGTTCAAGTGTGGCTTATTTTGGTTTAGGATAAATTGATTCTTAATTGATGTAAATAAACTGATCTTTTGCACCAATTCAACAAAATCCATTTAAAATCACATCATATGTTAAAGCAGTGCAACTTTCTGCTGTAGACAAGCCCAGAGAACAGAATTTGGTTGACAGTCTGGTATTTTCTTTCATGCAGTCTTATTTATTTACAAGAAATGTACAAAGTTCTGCTTCTCTGCACACAGGAGGACCAAGAACAAAAGGAGCAGTGTCTTAGCCTACAGTCCCAAGCCTGTTTACCCAAAAACCAGTCCCAAAAGCTCTCTTTCTAGCTTTTTCCAGGGCCACACTGTGCTCATAGGCTATTGCTTGGCTTTCTTGCTTTTTGCCTCTGCCTGTCTCTGCCTGTCTCTGTTATGTACACATGCACACACACACTTTACCCAAAACAATCTACAGCAAAAGCCCCTCCACTCATCCAGTGTAAAACTCCTGGGTGGGTTTACACTCCTTTTATCTGAGGTGGAGTGCTTATGATTACCTGATCCTGACAGTTATGTTAATTGAAGGGTATGCCTAGTCTCAGAGGTTTGTGACTCATGCAGTCCCCAGTGCCTCTCAACATCATAATACCCTAGGGTGACCAGACGTCCAGATATTTAGTTGTTTGTCCCATATCCCGACCGATGTTTGGTCGGGGTGCCATTTGTCCCGATATTTCGCACTCTGTTTTGTTTTTGTTTTGTTTTGTTTTTTTGCTCTGCCAGTGGCATGGCGTTTTTTGTTGTTTTTTTTGCTCTGCCAGCGGCTCCCCCCTCCCCCACCCGCCCCATGTGTCCCAATATTTTGTTCCTCTCATCTGGTCACCGTATAATATATTTAAAGAGGAAATGAGAGTCTGGGAAAGGTACAGCCTCTACAGAAGGGCTACTACAAATGACTCCTGTATAGAAGGGTTTTGTACTCACAAATGGGAGGGAGGGTAAAGGAGAAACAAAAAAAGAATGCAAATGAAATGAAGAGTGCTGCCCATTGCAGGGAGGACTGATGGCTTTGAGAGGTCCTTGCAGGAAGCAGACTCAGTCTTTGAAGAGTCGCTGCATCAGGAACAGAAGGGAGATTGTGCTGCAGCTTTTGCTCTCTGTAACGAAGCTATATGTAAGTAACTCTAATTGCCTGAGCTACTGCGCTTTTGACAGTTTACTAATATCACAGAACAGGACTGTAAAATTTACTGACTAGTCATCTGAAATTCTCAGCTGGGAAAATGGGGAGTGTGCTCGTCCATACTAGTATGCTTGGAGCTAGTACCTCCTCTTTCTAAGCACCCTTGTTTCTGGATTTTAGTCCCCTCCAGCACCCTGGCTCCCTCTGGGCTGTTGTCTCTAGTGCAATGGCAATAAGAACACTGGGATGTTAGTTTGTCCCTCTTGCTGCTAACTGGTAGGTGACTCCCTCTCCTGCATTCCTATACCTAGTAAGCAGTTTTCCCAATCAAGAGACCAGTTTGCAAAGGGTTTAAGCCCTAAGCCTGCCAGCACAGCATGTAGGAAAGGAGCATGAGAGAAGATGACTCTCCAGTCACCAACAAGAAAAGGAATGAACTATGCTGTACTTATTCACATCTCAGGAGGAATGGACGGCATCAAGATTTTGAAGGGCTAAATATTGCTGTGAATTATGGGAGTTATGTGCTATTGCATTTTTTTTGTTTTGATATTTTATAATTTAATTGGCTGGCTATCCCACCCCAACCTCCATTCCCCACTTGCTGGTTAGTAAGATTGCAAACAGAGCAGGTAGTACCATGGATTTGCAAAGGCAAAAATATGTTTATAGAAATTGGCTTTTCTGTATTACAAAATGAGGGTCAACATACAGTCCTCATGAAAGCTCTGTTAGTCTGCACCCCATCTGGCCATACCCTGATTTCAAATCCCAACCAGGTTCCCTTGCACATAAAAGGACCATGATATGGGAATAAGGAGTTGTATAGATGGAAGGCTGAGAATGAAATAGCGTTTGTGTGAGGGCTGGAGAAAGACCCACCCCGTGTTAGGGGGAGGAGGGGTTTGGCTAAAAACTAGATTTTTCTTTTGACTCATTTTGATTTAGTTTCAGTTAACCTGTTTGGACACATGGCTAACTTGAATGTGCATTAATGGAAATGAAAGCATCCCTGTAAACTTATCTGTGGCAGCATTTGCATGGTCCATGTTTTATGTTCTTGCTACATCTTTTTTTTTTCTTTTTTCTTTTTTTAATTTTAGTCTTTTTTTATGTTTTTTGTTTCTGCTATGTTTTCTTTTGCATTTTAGCTAAACTAAGACTTGCCATGCATGATGCCAGCTCTAGCACTCACAGCAGAGCCCTAGTCGATAAGAAGCTACAAATCAGTATCCGAAAAGCACGGAGCCTCCAGGATCGCATGCAGCAACAGCCATCGCAGCAGCCGCCGCCGCCGCCAACCTGCCACCCACCACAGGGGGGCACCATGACCCAGTCTACAAGGTAGTCCAAGTATATCACAGTAGACCAGTTCTGAGCTGCACCTATCAACAGCATGGTCTGGAAAGAAGTAGTGAACTGTGTGTTCCCCCGGTTACTCAAGATCCTGTAGTGTTCTTCCTCATGGCATGCTCAGATCATACCATGTTATAGGAGAGCGCACTTCAGTGCATCCACGGTCTTAGCTGGCCAAGTTATATGCACCAAGTCAAAACATGGCCTGTAATAGAGGCTTTTAGAAATTAATTCTGACCTGCTGATAGAAAAGACACGTGCATCAAGAGAGAGAATGCAATAGATAAGTGACCTGTTAAAAGGAGAGGTGTGTTTTAAGGTGAAATGAAAAGCTTTAAAAAAAGAAAAATTAGCAAATATCTTCAGGGCTCAATTCAGTTAAGCGGTATTATTATAATGAATGCCCTGAAATAACTACCAAGAGGAGGGCAGTCACATGTTTGCAGTGCTCTTAACAGTGAAAAATGCATTGAATCTTTTCTTCTAGCCCACCTTTTCTTTGGTGCACTGGTGCAGCTCTTGGAGAAAAAGGTTCATTCATAACCCATCCTTGCCCTGTCACCTTTCTGTTGTTTTCTGACCACTGTTCCTGATGCCACTTCCATTCCGCAACCAGGTTCTCTGCCTCCCAGCTGCCTCTAGTCTGACTTAGCAGCCTCTCCAGTTTCCTCCACAGGACACTTTCTTTTCTACTTTTCTCCTCCATTTTGTATACTCCATTTGATTCTCTGCTCCCACATCTTATTCAGCCCATCCTAGTTCCCTATTGTAACACCATTCTACCCTTTTCTGCCTGCCATCCCCTACCACCTCTAGAATCTTCCTTGCCCAGCTTCCTGGCAGCTTCTCCACCTATTTCTTTCCTTCTCCCACTTCCCCCACTACATGCTGTGCGACCAAATACCTAGGTGGAATCTCATGTGAGCGTCCCTTTTTAAAAACACTGCAGGGAGATAAGTGCTGAAATCCATACCTGAAAAGGCTATAATTCAGGGTTCCGTTCTGTTCTTGAAGCTGTTGAATTATGTACAGTGACAGCAGATCCCTGTGCTAATTAGAGGTCCACAATGCCCTCAGTTGTAGGAGAAACAACGAAACCTGACGTTGGACGCTGGCAGTTTAAAAAAAAAAAAAAGCATTTTACCTTTAAACATATCTTTCTATACATCAAACTCAAATATATTGCATAAGTGCCCATCCCTGCTAAAGGAACAGCCTTATCAGAAAAATATTATTTTGTACAGTAAGTTTCTACTGCAGTGAGTTTTAACTCTGCAGTCAGTGAGACATATCTGCTTGTATCTTGATTTTTGTGCCTTTGCTTTGATATACATCAGCATTATAAACAGCACAAAGTCTATTATTACTCAAAGCTAAGATCATACTCCCCCATGAATGCTCAGTTGGATCTTCTGCATGATGGTAGCTTTGATTTCTAGATCTGCATGAGGAGACAAACTGGTAGAATTGAAGTCACACAATAGTCTTTTTTGTCCCTGTAGGAAATAATTATCCTAACTATGCACCAGTGTTTAACTGCACAGCGTTGTCATTCTGCATATCCAGATTAAGGTTAAAGCATTACTCTAACCAACACTAAGTGCGGCTTTAAGCAGCAGATGTAGTTTTCAGTTTGACAGCTACCTGGGCTATAGCTGTCTATCAGAGTTGTTTCCAGTCCTCTATTTTTATTCATATCGCTGACTCATGTGACTTTCTGGTTGCATATTATAATGCTAATTAATGCAGAAGAAATACAAAGTGACCCAAGGACATGCACGGTTTATATTTTATGCAAGACATGTATGCACGGTTTGTAATGCTTTTAAATGCTTCCTTTAATGTATTGGATAAATAACTCAAAGCTGGAAAAAAAATGAGGAGAAGGAAACTGAGGGAAATGTATTGCATTCTATTCCTTTCCTTCCCAAAGTTATTTCCCATTACTTTAGGAAAGAGAACCTGAGTGGAATGTTGCCTGTTTATGTTAAGATCATAAACATAATGATTCTCTTGTATGGTTTGTAGAAATCTCCCAGAGATGCTGATTTTGGAGGGGAACTTGTAATACTTAATTTAAAATTTATTTTTATTATTTATCTTTATAATGTCCACACACACACACACAAGCCCCTAGCCAAAGTGCTCAGCGTGCTGTACAATATTTGTAAAAATATAACAGTAAAATCTTATAATAAAAAATAACTTTTAAAATTTGAAATGAATAAAATAGATTGAGTGGGTCACTTACAATAAAAAAGTTGGGAGGAAATAAAATGGAGATGTCAAATTAACAAAAGCAATTCTTTTGGGTGGGAAGTTTTTAATTTGTGTTTGTGCAAAGAATTGGATTGAGGTGGATGTTAAGGGGGAGCCAGTTCCACACCTTAGGGATAATTTTAAAAAAGAAGAGAGTTATTAATAATTAGTTACCATTTCTGTGTATTTTAGTGAACAGACTGGCCCGCTCCAAGTACTGCTGAGCCGGGAGGTATCACTGGAACCCAACAGAGAAGTGGAATTCGGGTCCAGTTCTTTCTTCCACCCACCCGCTTCCTGCCATGAAGTGCACTCATCATTATATCCAGAGTCTTCCTCCCTACCCATTCCTGCAAGCAGTCCTCCAAATAGGATCTTTCATAACTTCCGGGCTACTTCTGCTGATTTCGATGGCCAAGCTCCCTCTTTTCCGTATGGGCGTGGGTTGGCTGAGAGACCCACAAAGACTGAGAATGATGCCCACCATGTTATGGAGCTTGATGGGGCCCCCGCCAAAGGGCTGAAAGACCATGACTGCAGCAGCAAATTAGAAGAAGTCCATGACATTACAGCTGTTCTCACACCTCAGCACAAAATTAAATTTAATACAGTCAACTCTGGGTCTTTGCCTACACTAGTCCCCTGTCCCCATCCAGCGCAAGCATCATGTCCCAATAAAAGCGGTCTGCATAGTCCTTGCTTCAGTCTGTCAAACTCTCCAGTGCCCACTAGCATTGATCAGGTAGGGGGCTATCATTCCATGATCTCTGCTGCTTCATTCCTGTCACTTCAGTGCCCCCTGGCTCCCTTACAAACAGCAAACAGGTACCCTAGAACAAACAGCCGTGAAACTTTACTGCTCCCACAGGATGACTTCAGCAACGTGGAGACTTGCAAATCTAAGACCCATAGCTCAAAGGGGCATGTTCGTTCCCTTGCAGAGCAGTTTCAGAGACTGCATGGAGTCTCCAAGAAAGAAGGTGCACATGAGAAAGGGTGGACTGCTGCAGTCTGTCAGGATGAGAAGTCTCCAAGGCTGATACAGGAGTCATTCATTAATTCTTCAACCTCAGGCTACAGGCAATTAATTCCTCAAAGTCAAGAAAACAGAACCCAGTCTTCCGAAAAGTTGCATTCATCCTTAGATGTTAGGGATGGGTTTGCTTCCTTGGAGGGTTTTCGCACTCAACTCATTACCTCTAAGAGTCCTGGATCGCACAGTGAAGACCAGTGTAGAAGAGGTGAACAGAATGTAGCTGGCCCTGCACTCTCCCAGGAAAGGCACACTCATGAGAGAGGTGTGAGACAGGTGGATGATGGAACTGCCACTGGTATGGGTGCTTCTATGCCTGTGGACTGCTGGGTGGACAATGTCACCAGGTATTACAGTTCTCAACTGGACTGTAAAAATACAGAATCACTTCCTGTGCCAGGGAGGAATCCACCCCTTTCTGATCACAGAACAGTCAGAGATGACCTGAATGGGACCCCAGTGCAGTTTCACCCACAGTGGAATCAAGACACAGAGCAGGAGATCTCTGAGTTGGAGTACCTCTATCAGGCTAGCCTAGCTGGTAGGCCTGTGTTGGGAAGACTGGACAATTCCAGGCACTCATCGAGCAAGCCAGGTGAGAATTCTGGAACTGTTACATCTGGGTAATGTTTAATCCCCAAGCAAGACTTGGGCCTTGCCTATACACAGACTTCCACCAGTTTAACTAAAGGTGTGTTTTTAAACTGATTTACTGAAAGAGGTGCGTGTTTGTGTGCAGATATTCTTATTTCACTTTGAGAATGGCTTATTTTGCTTTATCTTACTAAAAATAATTCCCTTTTAAACTGAAATAAGAGTATCTGCAGAGAAACTTGCACCTATTTAACTACATTTGTTTAAAAACATACCTTTAGTTAAAACAGTGGAGGTTTGTGTGTAGACAAAACCTTGGCTTGAATGAGAAGAGTTCAGATTTGAACTATATGGCAAATCAGGATGAAGGAGGGACAGATTTCTGGCATGCTTTGTAAGGTGCCATATTAATGCACCTAAAGTGCGCAAGAATGAAAAGTGTTTACACCCTCGAGTATTATATTTGTGTTGCTTATGTATATGTAGACAGTACATCACATCTGGTTAAAACCATTCACGAAAGAATGGTTATTGACTAAAAATTTCACACTATAGAATTTGTATCAATGGATATAAAACAGTCATACAAAAATGTTGATTGTTCATATTTTATACCTTTTTTCCTCCAAGTACCCTCTGTACATTCCTACTTGTGGGATCACGGCATCTGTGTCTCAAGCTCTTGGAATCTTCTAGTGAGCAATGTCCATTTGAGCCACTTACTCTTCCCTCCCTAGGTAGGGTTTCAAGGGTGTAAAAAGGGGAGTGATCCCAACCACACTTCACTTCCTTCTAATCCCCAAAGGTCCAATGAGCTCAGATTGCAATCAGTGTCCTCGATGCATCCCTCAATGTGTTTTTTTTTTTCTTCTGCCCTTCAGGGACTATATTTTTTTATTTTTGTAGTTTGTCAGTTAGGTAATCAGCTTTTCTTAAGAAAGAGAAGAAAAAGAAGTGGAGAGAAGGATGACAATATGACACAGGTGTTGTCTAGACCTGTAAAAATGATAGAGACACTTCATCTGAAAGAGAGACTCTTCAGGCCTTGTTGACTAAATCTGTCTATCTGGAAGTCCAGCATCAAGTCTGGAGATAACCCTCACCAGAATGGTTCTGTGCCTGGTGCAAGTGGAATGAAAGTCCTTGGATCAATCTTGGTTGACCAAATCCTGTTCTAAGGATCCAGCACTGTTGACTCTGGAGATCCACTTGATAAAGTAGTTCAGTTTCCCCAGATCTTTCCAAGTTTGACTAAGTCCAGTGCTGAGGACCTGCCACCTTCACCTCTTGGAAACCACTTAGAAAAGTGGTTATGTGCCCAACGTGATCTGCACTGAGCACCCCAGATCTCAATCCCTTGATCTAGTCTGGTTCTGAGAACCTGGCATCATTGATTCTGCTCTTAGTATGAAGTTCCTGGATCAATCTGAGCTGACTAATGGTTCAGCACCACTGATACTGGAAAATCACTTGCTAAAGTGTTTGTGTTACATATGAGTGGCACTGAGGTCTATGGATTGACCAGTTTGACCAACTTCAATGCCTAGGGTAGGGCACCATTGACTGTGAGCTTAGCATAATTGGAACCAAGCTCTCTGGATTGACGAAGTCTAGTGCTGTCAACTGCAGTTTCAAAAGGACCAGAATCTCATCCTAATTTGGGGTCTGGCCACTGTAACATACCTAGGGTACAATCCATTCTAATAAGTAACTGTCACTCCTCCCCTCTAACCTGGGGTGCCCTTTACATGGCTTTGCTATTGTAGCCTCCAGTCTGGACTGCTCACAAACAGCCTCCACCATGCAAGTCACTCTCAGCTATATCTGTGTGTGTGCTGCAGCCAGCCAGCCACACCTTGGCTCTTACCAGCCTTGGTTATACTGCAGGGTGACCCCAGCACTCTCCAAGTCTTAGGTTTTCCACCAGAAATGTAGGTCCTGTACTGCCTAGCCCTCTCCTGGACAGTACAAATTCATAAGAAATCTGTATTTCTTTAATAGATATATGTACACTTTTTACCCCACATGGAGTTTCCAAGACACTTCCGTTTAAACACACTGGATTAAATAAAACATGTTTATTAACTACAAAGAGAGAGATTTTAAGTGAATACAAGTAATGCGGCATAAAAGTCAGAAATGGTTACAAGAAAAATAAAGATAAAATACCAACTAGTGCCTAACTTAACAAACTATGTTAAATTCAAAGCAAAGTTTTTCTCACCACATGCTCTCAACAATCTTACTGGCCAAACTTCTTAGGCCAGGATCCCTTCTTCTGAGGGGAGAGATAGCTCAGTGGTTTGAGCATTGGCCTGCTAAATCCAGGGTTGTGAGTTCAATCCTTGAGGGGGCAATTTGGGGGACCTGTCTGGGGATTGGTCCTGCTTTGAGCAGGGGGTTGGACTAGATGACCTCCTGAGGTCCCTTCCAACCCTGATATTCTATGATTCTGTTTAATGGCTGCTTCTTTTGGCCATGTCTACACTAGAGAGCTTACAGTGGTACAGCTCTACTAATGCAGCTGTGCTGCTGTAAGATTTCCCTTGTGGCTACTCTATGCCGACGTGAGAAAGCTCTCCCATCAACATAATTAAACCACCCCCAACAAGCAGCAGAAGCCGCTCCAGCCAAGTGTCCACACCATAGCACTGTCCACACTAGCGCTTCTGTCAGTGTAACTTATGTTGCTCAGGGGTGTGTTTTTTCACACCCCTGAGTGACATAAGTTATACCAACAAAAGTGCTAGTGTAGACATAGCCTAGGTCCATTCTCATGCAGTAAATCAATGGATAGAGAGAGAGGAGGAGGGGATGCCTTGGGGTGTCTGCCCCTTCTTTTTATAGTCCTGTCCCTCCTTTGAGAAGCATTCCTTACTTTCAGCTGGGAGTAAGGTGATAGGCAGTCTGTGTGAAAGGAAACTTCATGGTGTTTTTTTGCTAAGATGTAGGTTTTTGCTCCTGCCTCTTTCCTGCCAAAGAACGAACACTTAGCAGGTAATGGCCCATCTGCCTTGTTTACAGCTGGCTGAGGTGTCCGTTTGCCCTTTGTCTCTGAGGAACTGGTTTGGCCATTCCCCAAACTTCCCTGGAAAACATACTTTTAGTCATGATCTCAGCTTATGTTTATAACGTCACATATAACGCTGCTACATTCATTTTGCCATGATATTACTGATCAGCAAATTATGAGTTTTTAAATGACACCTCACAAGGCATCTGGCTTTTGGTGACTCTCTGGATTACCAAATTGCTGCTACAACTAGCTTCCAATTCAAAATCAGAAGGAGGACTCTTCAGCGTCCCGGTCCAGAGTGGCTCTGGTATGGAAGGGGCACCTATCTAAGGAGTCCTTGGGAGCAGCACAGGGACTTTGTCAGCACCAGTCCAGAGTCTGGAATTGGCTAGTTACCACTGTTGCTATGCCTGTGATTCTGAGTCTTTCCTTTGGGCCAGACAAATCTGAGAGCTTTCATGCTTTGCCTTTACTGAGCACTTCTTTTGTTTTGATGGAGCAGTTGTGCTTGGCACTTGAGAGCCTCAGTGAGAGGGCACTACCAATAAAGCTGTACCATACATGGCTTTGGCCTCTCTGTGGCACAAAGGGTTTTCACCAGTTGCCTGACTATCCTAATTATTTTTCTCAGATGTTAGGGAATCCATGTATATAGCTAGAGTTTGGTCCTCAGGAAACATGCATGTTGTTCCAGTCCTTGGAATTTGCTATAAATATTTCCCTTTCATCCCTCCACAAAAGGTGGGGTCATTGGAGCCCTCCTTAGACTCCAAACCTGCAACTTCCCTGCGTGAGTACAGATTCCTTACCAGTGCACCTTCTTGATGCAATGAACACCTCAGCCACAACGTCTCAGGACATACAAGATGCTTACCTGTGAAAGACAAAAGAGCCCCTTATCATTTGCAGTGATACTCAACTTGTTTTTCATACTCTCCAGGACGTCAGGCTCCACATCAGTTTATTGGAGCTAAGCCCTGTGATTAAATCCAAATCTGTCCCAATTCTGATGGACAACACCACACTAATGTATTACAGCAATTGACAAATGATGGCTTGAGAATGCAGCGGCCGTCTTTCCATGGCAGATGAGGAATTGGTTAAAACCCTTCTGTTCTCCAAGTACAACTAACAATTAACTGGAAAAAATTCATCAGAGCAACACAAAATGAAGTGGACTTGGGACAGCCCTCCCTTGCTTTTAACTTGAACTATCTTAAGGTGCATTTTTGTTGTTGTATGAGCTTTCCACTCTCTGGGGCACAGGTCATCAATTTTTGCTCACTCTCCAATAACCAAATTAATGAAGTGATTGCTCTGTATACCATTGGGGCTGCTTGTGGTAGTTGCTTTGCCACAATGGCCGTGGCAAAGGAGACTGGATTTTCCATTGCTGAGGGTGCGGTGGTGAGACAGGTACATTTGAGCTGCTCCATGCATATTTCCTTCCTTCCAGCCCAGAAAATAAACAAGATACAGATCTAAAGGACTAATTGTCCATACACCATATTCTATTCAGAAAATTAATTATCTGCTGCATCCTCTCCCTTAATCCTGACTGTGATGGTCTCCTGTGTCCATCCTAAGTAAGCCATTACTTTCCCAAGCTTAATTCACATCCAGGAACTCCGATTCCATACTTTGGATATTCATGGATCTTAGATATGGTCCTCTTAGACAATGATTGCATTTTCAAGGGCCCTCCCAAAACTAAGGACATATGGGATGTAATTACTAAAAGAGGTAGCCAATTGTTTGACTACACTCATGGCTTTTTCTTTAAAATGTTAAAGAGATCAAATAACCAAGCTTAGCCAAATGTATTGTCTTAAGACACAACAGTACAGTATGAAAAGGAAACATAAATACCCCCCTTCTGTGGAGCAAATTCTTGCAGCATGCTCACTTTATGCAGAAGGTGTACTTCAAAGATATGTATTTCAGCTAGTAGTATTTATAGTATGATTTTACAAGTTAAAAAACTCTTTACACACAAAGTTTTAGTTTTAGTTTAAAATTTGTAAAAAGTTTGTGCCAGCTTTGTCCTTGGTACTTGTCTATAGTTTCCCATATCGAGTGTTGAATACTACATTCCGCGTGTTGATGAGCTATGAAAGTATTCCCCATCTGTACTTGGTCAAAGCCAAAGATGCATGAATGCTATTTTCTAATGCAGCGGTTCTCAAACTTTAATAACCCGACGACCCCCATTTTGATTTAAAAATTTTCACGGACCCCCAGACCTCCCCGCTCATCCCCAAGGCCCCATCCCTACCCAACCTCTTTCCGTCCCCACTCCACCCCTGTCCCTCCTCTTCCCCACCTCTTTCCTCTCCCAAGCACGCCCCATCCCCGCTCTTCCCCCTCCCTCCCAGCGCCTCCTGCACACTATATATATATATAGTGTTGTTTTATTAATACCATACCTATTAATGTGGTGTATACTATGCTTAACTTTTATATAGTGGCTAACAGATGGGACTGGGGATCTTTCCATCAAAGCTCAAAGGTTGCCCGAATGCATTAGTTTGTGTATGACCATTGTTATGACAAGACTGGTGTTCAGCCACCTAAAGGTATTAAAATATACTCAGGGTACGTCTACATTACCCGCCGGATCGGCGGGTAGTGATCAATCTATCAGGGATCGATTTATTGCGTCTAGTGTAGATGTGATAAATTGATCCCCGATAGCTCTGCCGTCGACTCCTGTACTCTACCGCGGCGAGAGGCGGAAGCGGAGTCAACGGGGGAGCGGCGGCAGTCAACCCCGCACCGTGAGGACGTGAGGTAAGTCGACCTAAGATGCGTCGACTTCAGCTACACCATTCTCGTAGCTGAAGTTGCATATCTTAGGTCGATCTCCCCCTCCCCTCCCCAGTGTAGACCAGGCCTCAGCTAGGCCTAATGTGGTTTCCATAGCTTGTCTTTGTGTCATCTTAGTCAGTTTGGAAGGCTGCTACTTGAAGCTCTACATATGCTTTCAGGTGTCTTTTTTCAATTGTGGCCTGTTTGGGGAGAGTAAAAGGTTGTAGTCACTCATGACGTGGCACTCATTTTTGGCAATTTTGCAGTCCTTATTAATCTAGAACTCTTCAGTCCTCCTTCCTCGAGCTGGTACTGCTCACTAAACTCCCACAAATAAGAATGTGCAGAGACCACTTGAAAAAATGAAGGTTACTTATTAGTAACAGGAGTTCTTTGAGTTGAGCCTCTGCACGTTCATACTCCTTCACTCACCTTCCCCATTTCTTTGGGGTCTTCACAATTCCTGAATTAGCAGAAGGAACTGAGGAGCGATTGGGGCTGCTACTCCTTTTAAACCTGTAGAACCCTGCACGAGGGCAAAGGAAGGGGAATGAATAGCCCCAATGGACACTCTTGCCTAGAGATTCTGAGATCTTGTGATCAGGCACATTGATCCTGTAAGTGTGGATGTGCAGAGGCTTGTCTCAGAGAACTCCGATTACTGGTAAGTAACCTTCATTTATGTATATAGATATTCACTTTCTGTTTGAGCCAGGTCTGTTCCACAGGTGCAGAGTCAGATCTTGAGTTTAATCTCACTTTTTTATTTCCCTCCACAGTCTCTGAAAACATAACTATGAGGAAGTTGCACACTGTAGCCGGTATGGGTCTCTCGAAAACGCCAACAGCAGAGATTGAGCACAATCTCTATGGAGCCATTGTCTCTCCTGTCTCCAAGGTAGCGCAAGGTAGAAGGTTGTGTGGTTGTGGGGGAATTGGACATTCCAGCAGCAAGAAAAGTGGGGAAAATTCCATATGAGAGGCAGTGGGTTCACTCATATTGAACTTTAAAGAGATAATTTTATGTAGTCCTACTTGGGATTGAGCACTAAGAAAGTGGGTGACTTGGGATCAGTGTTACACTCTAAATGGTGACCTCTTCAGGGATATGTGGCCTCACAGTTTCAGAGTTAGTACCTCTGATTATACTGTAATGGACTCTAGGGAACCATTTTGCATTGCAAGGAGATAGGCTGGATGACCTGACATATTTTCCATTGCTAACTCCTAGGAACTGCCTCTTCATATTATATCAACTGCTTTGACACTGTCTCCTTTATTGGATCATGTCATCTTTCATGTTTTGAAAGTAGAGGGTTTAACATAGTATAATGTACAAATAATAGCTGACCTCTAATGTTCCTTGGTCCACTCTGAGTAAGGGAAGGTAGCAGTACCTGCACTACAATTTGTCTTGTGCTGCTGTTTCCAGAACCTTCAGAGCACATGTTCTAACTCACTTGAATACTGCTCAGTTTTCATACTCTGCAGCTTTTCTAAGAGAAGCCAGTTAAATAATTAGCTGTAATATTTTGGTACCTATATCTGAAAGTGTCTGGGCACCTCAACAAAAAAAAAAAAAGACTGAAAATGCAGTTTTCGCAAATAGAGGAACCTGCTTATCAAGCTGAGAGCAGAAGGAAAGAGGTAAAAAGAACCAACATTTCCCACACCAACATAGAATAAACTACTTGCTAGCCACCACCAGAGATGGAAGGAAGCAAATAATCATAGTGAGAAGAGTTGTGAGAAGGCTCCCACACTCTTCAGATTATATTTTGGGATAGTCATCAATTCCAGCCCTGCTTATCTCAGCTGCTATAATGGAGCACAAGGCAGCAAGCAGTCCCTTGGGTAGACTCATCCCATTAAGGCTTTAAATCCTGTCTTTACGAAATTATAAGACATAGAATCTCAGTTAAACGTGTCTGCCAATGTACATAATAAGGTGAAAAACTGATTGTGAGAATACTATTTTTATTAATGAGACTCTAACAGACTCAATTGCTTTATGCTCTTGGGTTAGACTTGAATGAGAGACTTCAGAAAATACTCCTAAGGCTGAGGGCATTCTGCACCAAAAAATTAAAAATTCTGTTTACAATATTTTTAAATTCTGCAAGTTTTATTTGTCAATAAATAAATGCAGAGGCTCCAGCATGGCAGTGGGGAGCACAGGCCACTGGCTGCACGAATGTGGGAAATCATCCTGCAGCTCCCCTCCCCCCAGGACACAGACTCAGCGGTGAGGCTGCACCCAACCCTGACACAGCACAAAGCCTGGGCCTGCCCCTCTGCACCAGGTGCACCAGGTGTGGGGCAGGCAGGCTCAACCAGGCAGGATCCAAATGTGGAGGGTCTCAGTGTGGGGGGATCCAGGTGTGGGATGAGAAGATTCTGTGTGGGACAATCTGGGTGCAGGCAGCTCAATGGGTGGGTCTAGGTGTGGGGGGATCTGGATGCACAGGCTTGTTGGAGGGGTTCCAGGTGCAGGAGCAATGGGACTCTGCAGGGGCTTCCAGGTGAAGGTGGTTGGGGCTCAGCGGAGGGGTCTGGATGTGGGGGTCTCAGCGGGGGGGTTCGGGTGCTGGGAGAGTGAGGCTTGGTGGAGTGGGTGTCTGGGTGCAGCTAGTTGGAGGTCAGTGGCATGGGGGTCTGGATGTGGGGGCTCAGGGTGGCGCAGAGGGTGGGGCATCATGGTGGGGTTTGAGTGCAGGGAGCTCGGTGCAGGGGTGGGCATCTGGAGGCAGGGAGTCTGACTGCAGGGGGGGCTCCAGCTGCAGGGGTTGAGGTTCAGTGGGGTGAGGTTCAGGTATGGAGGACTAGGGGGGTTCAGGATGTACGAGTGAGGCTTGGCAGGGGTGTCTGAGTATGGGAGGTCCGGATGCACAGGGGCTGGCTGGATGGTGGAGCAGCCCCCCATACAGTGACCCCTCCCCCCACAGCTCAGGAGCAATGCGGGAGGAAGCAGGGGAGGATGCTGAGCTTCCTGCAGCTGGGGGAGGTTTCTGGGGGTGGGTCTGACACAGCCCCAGTCACTCCTTGCAGGGGAAGAGGAAGTCCAGTCCTTTCCTGCCTCCAGCCCAGCTGGGACTAGTAGCTGATCCCAACTCAGGGTAGGAGCCACTGGCTGGGGTGTCCCCAGCCCCACGATGATTTACCTCTCTGCCAGCTGCTATGAGTGCCTGAAACAATGTACCTGCACTGCTAGGGAATGGTGCACAACTGCTCTTGCAGCTTCCCTGTCAGAAAGTCATTTTTCTGCGGGGAAGCAAAGAAATCTGTGGGGGGCATTAATTTTGCACACGCGCAATGGTGCAGAATTCCCCCAGGAATAAGAAAAGGAAGGATTAATGTATTTCACTAAATCCATCTATTCTTATCAACTTCTTCTCCTGAATCATTGTGCAATGCAATTTTCCCTGGAGAGATCTTTCTGAATGTGGTAACGTTGTCTGCAGGTTGCATATGCCAGAGGCCATAGCAGGGAGCCAGAAGAGGAGATGTACAGTGCAGAGAATTTCCGTCGCATTGCTCGCAGTCTCAGTGGGACAGTCATCACAAACAGGGAAGAGACTCTGGTCTCCTCTCATAGTTTTGTAAGTAAAATGAACCTCAGCATTGCAGAGATGACTGCTTGGGATAGAGTTGGGGGCTACTTTTCCTCCTCCTTTCCCTCATCAACTCCACTACAAGTAGTAAACAGAAAAGGCGCGCAATTGAACAGCATGGATACCAGTTCAGAAGGATGAACATTGGTTCCAGTGAATTATTCCCTTTTTTCTCTGTTGGATGGAGAAGTCAGCTTTTATTTTACAGCAACCAAGTTATCTGCTTTTAGAGTCACCACACCTAGAATTGTGCCAAGCAAAGCTTGTGTATGTGTGCTAACAGGGCTAACCCTGGTAAAGGGACACAGTCAATCTGAAGTTTATCTTTTTCAATATTGATTAACTTAAAAATTGCAGTTTTTAATAGAGCCCCCATAACAACATGGGCTGTGATTTAACAAAAGAATTCTTTAACAGTATATATAAGGAAATTTTTGCTTCCTTGTTAGTGTTTATAAGGCATACCTTCCTCAAGAAATAGTGGTTATACACAAAGTGCTGCACAAAGTAAACAAGTTAAAAACAGAGAGAAACTGTTTTTCTCCATCATCTTTGTTAGTACTCTCAGGTTAGGTGTAACAAATCTGAAACTTGAAAAATGTACAGTATTTTCAGGCAGAAATTAAGGTTTTTTTTCAAGTTGATTGTGTCCTTTCATCTGATTAAGTAAAGTTCAGTTACTCTAACACCATTTCTTGTTTAACTTTTTTAAACCATGCCTGCCTATATTTCCTTTCTGAACAAATTCTAGTGAAACTGGATGTAAGGTGAGGTGGGTGTTGGCTTGCTGACCCTCCTGCTCAAAGGGCAGGGAAAGTATTTTCCCTTGGTCAACATGGTTATTAATGGAATGAAGACTGTTGCTGGGTCTAATTGCACCAAATAATGTTCCCCTTTCAGAGTTCCCCCAAATTCATTTAATTGAAAAGCAGGGATTTTTATTGAACTGTAAGTCTGAGAAAAGCAGGAACAGATTGCTGTCAGTGTTTACCTGTGTGATTTCTTTGAGGAGGGGAAACACTTAACTAAAATTTGTTTTCAAATCAATTTAATTAAACCAGTACAACTCTCATTTGTAGGTAGGGCCTTAGCCCAATCTTGCATTGATGCAAAAGCTCAAACTCCATTACCATATCAGAAAGTTGTGCTCAAAAATTTTTTACTGATAGGGGTGCGCGATCAAAAAAGTTTGGAGACCACTGCCCTACATCACTGTTTAGCTCTTAGTAAAGCGTGTTTAGCAAGGGAAAGGCTTCAGCAGTGTACATTTTCCTGGCATGTGTGGCCCAGTCCTTCAAAAGGTGATTTGGAAAGAGCAGATTGATTTTTTTTTTTTCTTGCACAAGATTACTGCTGGTATTCTGAGATGTGAGTATGATGGTGGGTTTTTTTCTGAGCAGGTATGTTGGGTTTTTTTCTTAGCTGTTTGGTTACCTTTCTGGGATGGGCTTTGTTACCTTGCATTTCTTTCTCTTTCATAGACAGATTCATGTACTTGTTCTGGTGACTCATCCCTCTCTCCTTCCTGGATCCCCACCATGTTTGCTTGATTGAACCCAGCTTTGTGTTTAATCATCATTTGTGGTTTCTTTCCTTTCTCATTTTGTCAAAAGGAAGCATCAAATGTGAGGAAAATGCCAAAGGAAACCACGCACCGTTCTTCCAGCTCCACTTCCCTCCCTTTTCCCCATGATCCTTCTGTGTTACCCTTTGATCCCCACCACTACCCAACCCAGAGGCAGAACCTGTCCCATGATGTACTGATGCCTAGCATGGTGGGCAAAGCACGTAGACCATCAGGTAATCACAGGATTCTTCACCCTCCTGCATGATCAGAAATGCTGTATGTGATTCTTTCCCTGCTGTTGCTGAAGTACAGGTCTTTGGATCTTGTCTGCCATAGTGATGGTTTTATCAACTGCCTGAATCCCTTCAGAAATTTGGAAGGATAAATTGCTTTTTTTTCTTTACTGTCCCTTCTACACTGCTTTAATGATGCTGTGCTATATGGATATAACATAAAGGGACAGTCTTTATGTTAGAGGTATGGCTGTTAATTAAATAGTTATGGTAATATTTTCATTACATATACACAGGAGGAGGTACCCGGCCAACAAAAGTGTCTGGCATAACCCAATGGAACTCTTTTTACTAATTTATATAGCATCTGTAGCATCCTCTGGGGCACCTGGCATTGGCCACTGTCGGAAGACAGTTTACTGGCTAGATGGACCTTTGGTCTGACCCAGTATGGACATTCTTATGTTCTTATAACACACCATTCCTATTTGGTCATTAGCTATATTATACTGTTTTTAACATTACAAGAAATGAAGCTATAAATGATGCACACATTCCTCAGAGATGACCCAAAGGTCCACCCATTTTTTTTGTACTTAACTGTGTTTGTGGGAGGGGTGCGAAGTGACTGCCTGAGGAGGAGCTGGTTATTAGTACTGTATTCCCTCAAAAATCACATATGTGAGAGATCTGTTGGAATTACAATCCCTGTTGGTGCTACAAATTCCTGCATGAGAGGCCACCATGAAAGTTATCCAGAAACCCCTAGAACATGTGTCTTTAATTTTCTTGTTGGGCTCCTTCTCAGGTGACATTGAACATGTTACAAAAAGTGCTGACTATTTAGGAAATCTGGTGTCCCATTAGTGCGTGTGACAGCACCTGCAGAAAGACAGGTTGGAGCTCTTTTCTGGGGGTGGGTTGAGTTGCAGAAGGAAAGTGAATGCAAGGAGTGTGCTGCTTAGTTTTTACTCATTCTGAATCGTAGGTCAGTAAGTGCCCTGGTATAGGGTTGCTTCAGTTTACCCATTCATATCAGCTGTGGGCCACAGTTAAAGAGGTTTTGAGAGGAAAATAAATTAAAATATAACTGACTAAACTCTCCCCACTGCTCCCCACAGGAGATCAGAAGAACGTCCAGAAACTTCTGGTTGTGCCTGACCGGGGTGAAACTTTCCGAGGTGAAGACCACCCAGGTATGGCACTGAGCTACAGGAGTCTCCCTTGCGCACAGAAATGCTCTTCTTCCCAAGGTCAGGGGCCTCTTGTTGACCAGCATATGGGAGGTGGAGCATCAAGGATCTCTGGCCAATGGCTGCAGATGAACCACACTGCCAGACAAACAGCAACACTGCCAGACAAACGAACATTGCAGTTGGGATACACTGCCCAGCCAGACAAGGGGTTAGAGGAAAGCTTCCTTCAGCAGTCCTCCCGACACCAAATGCATGAGTCCTATGCCATCAATTGCAGGCCACGTCCTAGCACAGACTACAGTACCTTCAGAGTACTACAGGGGCTTTCTTGGGACCCTGGTGCCTCTCACGGTTGCCCGGTGCCTCCCCCGTGTACTAAGGCCCCTGGACCAAGGAGAGTAGATATGCCCCCAGAAGAAGACTGGCGTCAGAACAGCTTTATCCCTCAGCCTGGTGGACGGAGAACATTGCCAGTGCACGTGGTGGATGGGACTTTTTCGTCTGCTTCTGAGGTGCACCAAAGGATGATGGCCCGAGCAGCAGCAGCTGCTGCTGCCACCCTGCAGAATAGTGGCTGGTGAGGTCTTGTTCCACTCAATGTGTTCCCAGCATTGATCAAACCCCCTTGTGAGCAGACTGTCTGAACTGTAGCTGTTGCTGAGGTGCAGTTAATAACAAGGCAGCTAACTCTTCAGTCAGTAGCTCTGCTAGTCTTGTCTTAAAATGTAGCTATATGGTATGTGGAAACTAATTGCACTGTATTTCTTTTCCTGTATTGCTGAATTGCTGTCTGTGGGGGGAGCTCTCAGCTATTCCGATCCCAGCTCCTCTCAGCAGTAAGCGCTATAGTCAATAATAGGTATAAGGGGCACTGGCTGTGGATAAGCTCACAGGTGCACGTTTATTTTGAAGAAAGATGTACCATTAACAAAAAGGACCACTTTTTAAAGGACTCAAGCATGAAACGTAGTTCTGCTAAATTCATTGCATACAAAGCCAATATGCTATTTTCCATTTGTTTTCTTCTCCGCCTCCCTCTTGTGTTATCTACTGGGGGAAAAACTGATCCACCTACCAGGTTCCAGCAAATCTGGACACGGCAGGACTGGTGGTAAGTGAGGCAAACCCAACATTCAGTGTGCTGAGACTTCAAGCACAGGCCACAGCTGTAGTTGCTACTGTGAAGGGAGAGGGAGACATTGCCCCAGAGTAAACCAGAACTTTTCCCCACTTCCTTCAGGCAAACTAACAATGCTTCAAACAGAAACGACTGTTAATGCTGCACGCTTAATTACACCAATGTAAACACAGAATAAGTTTAGCTATTTTAGGGTCAAACATACTTGCTTTTGTAAGTATTTTTCAAATAAATCTATGAAATAGTTCTATTTAACTGCCTGTGTATGAATCATCTTCATTTTTTATTTGGTTTTACTCAGCAACTGGCCTGAAAGCTCTGATTTGTGTTTTTTTAATACTCTGGAATAATAAAAGCTACATATAAAGTTGTTTGCAGTGTTGTTGTAGCTGTGTTGATCTCAAAATATGAGACACACAAGATGAGTGAGGTAATATCTTTTTCCAGACCTGAAGAAGAGCTCTGTGTAGCTCAAAAGCCTGTCTCTTCCACCAATAAAAGAGATTACCTCACTCACCTTGTCTCTCTCATACATAAAGGTAGTTAGTTAATAATGGTAATTTATTAACAAATCGTTTATAAAGAAGCACTTGTAATTAGAGCAGAGGACTGTGTCAGGAATGCAGTATTCTGTTCCTGACCCTTCCAATTCCACTTGTTTGCTTTGTGGACTAGTTGCTTCGCCCCTCTGCACTTCACTTTCCCCTGTAAAATTGGGGTACCCTTCCTCTCTGGAAAAGTATTTTGAGACGTCTGGATGAGAAAAATGTTGGATATGTGCACATTAGTATTGTACATAGTCAAGCTCTTTTTAGTCTCCTACAAAAGGGTCATCTAGAAATGGTCGGTCTGTGTCACTGGCTCAACTGAGCCAGATGGTGTCTCATAGAGCGAGCTCACCTAGTTGTCAATAGTCCAACCAATGTCTAATTCAGGATGGCCTGCCCAGGCCTTACATTCACACAAAGGAAATCAAAAAGCTGGCACAGTGAGGTCAGCAACAGGCCCTGGCCAGGCCTGGATTTTTGTGTTAGAGTAGAGCAAGGGTTCTCAAACTGAGGGTCGGGAGCCCTCAGGGGGTCACGAGGTTATTACATGGGGGGTCGCGAGCTGTCAGCCTCCACCCCAAACCCCGCTTTGCCTCCAGCATTTATTATAATGTTAAATATATAAAAAAATGTTTATAATTGATAAGAGGGGGTCGCACTCAGAGGTTTGCTATGTGAAAGGGGTCACCAGTACGAAAGTTTGAGAACCACTGGGGTAGAGGGAAGAGCCTTCCTCCTTCTCTGGCTACACCCAGCAACTGCCATTTCATAGAGGCAGCAGCCCTTTTTTTTAATTTGCCCTGCTGGGCCCATATTGGCTGTTTCCTGCTCTTAGCCCTTCTAACCATTGAAGAACCAAGTATTGTTGATTCCATCAGTGGTTGACCCAGGGAGGCCTTTCTGGGTAATCCGGGATGTCCAAAAATTACTGCCTTTCTCTTCCTATAGGGACACTTCCTATGGCAGGGTGCACCAAGGCAGCAGGGTCTCCAGCAGGAGGCAGCAAATGCCTGGTGCATCCTGTCACATAACTTCCCTGGCAGAATGGGCCTGGGGGTTTCGTCTTCACATCACAAATTCTAATATCTCCTCCTGCCCAGGAAAAGAAATCTGCATTCTCATGCTGTAGTACTAGGGAAGCACAGAGATCCAGCGCTGAGTATCACCTTGTGTCCTTCATTGCCTGCATCCACTGTAATAAGGGAGTATGATCCATTATTACATAAAACAGGACTCCTGCTGTCATCACAGCCCACCTTATAGCCCAGCATTCTTTCTCTATGGGGGAGTCTTTTGTGTCTCGCTTTTGGAATTTTCTGCTCAAATAAAGAATTGGGTGCTCCATTCCTTGGACGTTTTGTGATGATACAGCTCCTAGGCCCACTCAATGCATTGGTTTGCAGAATAAATGGTAACGAGAAATCTCTGGGCCACTGCAAAATGTCCCTGATCTTTTGAAAGATTTCCTCACACTGCCTTATCCGCTGCTTCAGTGCTGTCTCTTTGTGAGGTCCGTCAAAGGTGAAGAGTGGGGTATCAAATGGCAGTAATAGCTCACTAAGCCTAGGAACACTCACACTCAATGAAGTGGGTTTTAGCCCACGAAAGCTTATGCTCAAATAAATTTGTTAGTCTCTAAGGGGCCACAAGTACTCCTGTTCTTTTTGCTGATACAGACTAACACGGCTACCACTCTGAATCCTGTCACACTTGTTTCTTCATCTTGGAGGTAAGGATTTTCTTCAGGTTCTCTGTTTTGTCCTGAAGAGGCTGGATTTGGCCATTTCCCATGAGATATCCAGAATATCTAGTTTCTTGCATGCCAAATTATCGAGGGGTTGGAGATATTGTAACAAAGGCAGATGTGTGTTACAATAGGTGTGAATTAAGAGTTGGACTTTAAATCTAATTCTTTTTCCCCCCCCTGAACAGCCATTGGAAAGCCTAGACTGCACTTTAGTGCCCTCTACTGCTTCATTTTAAAAGGTACTCGTATTACAATTGTGTCTAGAATGCTACTTGTTTGTTTAGCTTAGTCTAGTATCTTCATTATTCTTGTTTAATGTCTTAATTTTCATTCCCATCTCTCTCTTCTCAGGATTATACTAAACACAGAGGTCAAATTTATCAATATTTCTGCTGTCTGAGAGTTTGGGAGTCATCTATTTTTTCTTTTGTATCTAAATATTTGCCATTGTAATGCCTCTCTGATAAAAATAACTGCATTTGGAGGTTGTGTCACATGTAGCCATTCACATTTTTCTGTAGTATGCTCCTCTGTTAACATCCATTTACAAAAAACAGCCCCTTCATTTGGATATCATGCCAATTTAATGATCTGTATGTTTTAATAGCATCACTCAGAACTTTGTACTAATCTGTAAATCCATTGAACATTGTCTTAAGCAAATACTTGATTGGGATTTCATCATTAGTGTCATGCATTGTACACATAAAAAGCCAGGTCCTCTGGTGCAGGTTGAGCATCTTGTGCTGCACTGCTGGCAGACTCTGGCTATAGAGCTGGCGTATCCCACTATGGGAGGATAACTCCAGTGCAAGGGGAATCTCCTGGTGGTGTAGAGCTGGCAGAGAGGCTCCTACCCCCATAGGCACCGACTCCGTGGGTGCTCCGGGGCTGGAGCACCCACAGGGAAAAATTGGTGGGTGCTTAGCACCCACCGGCAGCCCCCCGCCACAGCTCACCTCCACCTCTGCTCTGCCTCCGCCCTGCCTCCGCCTCCTCCCCTGGGCTCACCACGTGCCTACTTTTTCCCCCAGCAAGTGCTGGGGGGAGGAGGGGGAATGCGGTGCACTCGGGGAAGAGGCAGGGCCGGGGCAGGGATTTGGGGAAGGGGTCCAATAGGGGCAGAGCGGGGACTTTAGGGAAGGGGTTGGAATGGGGGTGGGCAGGAGCGGGGAAAGGGTGGAGTTGGGGCGGGGCCGGAGGGTGCGAGCACCCACCGTGTTGGGGAAAGTTGGCGCCTATGCCTACCCCAATCTCCCTTAACCTGCTGTTGGGGATGAGGATGGGGTAAATCCAAAGAAATGCACATTGGAAAACATAATCCCAACTATACATATAAAATGATGGGGTCTAAATTAGCCATTACCACTCAAGAAAGAGATCTTGGCGTCGTGGATAGTTCTCTGAAAACATCCACTCAATGTGCAGCAGCAGTCAAAAAGCAAACAGAATGTTGGGAATCATTAAGAAAGGAATAGATAATAAGACAGAAAATATCATATTGCCTCTGTATAAAACCATGGTAAGCCCACATCTTGAATACTGTGTGCAGGATGTGGTCACCCCATCTCAAAAAAAAATATATTGGAAAAAGTACAGAAAAGGGCAACAAAAATGATTAGGGGTATGGAACAGCTTCCATATGAGGAGGGATTAATAAGGCTGAGATTTTTCATCTAGGAAAAGGGAAGACTAATACAGGATACGATGGAGGTCTATAAAATCATGACTGGTGTAGAGAAAGTAGATAAGGAAATGTTTACTATGTCTCATAACACAAGAATTAGGGGTCACCAAATGAAATTAATAGGCTGCAGGTTTAAAACAAACAAAAGGAAATATTTCTTCACACAACGCACAGTCAACCTGTGGAACTCTTTGCCAGAGGATGTTTTGAAGGCCAACACTAAAACAGGGTTCAGAAAAGAACTAGATACGTTTATGGAGGATAGGTATGGGGTTGGGACCAATCCATGGCTGTGGTTTCAGCCCCTTGGTGCCTTTAGCAGCCAGAGGAAGTTACTGCAGCCCCAGGAGAAGGTGAACGAAAAGGTGAGCTTTATACCACTTTTGCACACATACACCCCCACCCTTTGTTGTGTGCTTCAGTCAGACCTCAGGTTCTGGCTCAGACCGTTTAGGCTCAGCTGTCCGAAAAACACAATCTGCCAAGCAAAACTAGTTGACCAAGATCAACTTTCCAAATAGTGGTTCACAGTATGCTGTATTTGCAAATAAAAAGGAAAAGTATGTTTCATGTTTTTCCTCCTGTCAACTCAAAAGTGAGGAATACTCCTGCATTGTCTCAAAGCCATGAAGACCAACGGCTTCTGAATTGGTGCAATTTGTTTTAAACCATACTAGCATTTATAGTGCCCAAATTGTTTTGTTTTATCTGCACATGGAAAATATCCCTTCATTCTTCCTCAGTCATGCTTGAAGGCACCTCAATTCAAAATTGGGTGAAAAAACCTATTATGTATGTTTATTACTCTTTGGGAAATTGATAATTTATTAACCTGAACTAGAGGGCTGAAATGAACAAACAGGGATTCCAACAGTGTCTTGAATCACACGCAAAGAACCTGAAATGGATTTAATAACATAAATTAACGGGGAAAAGCAGTGCTTCCTCTATTAAAGTGCACTCAATTCCCCAAAACGCTTTATTTGGAAGTCATGCCGTTTGATGATCTGACCGTCTTAACATCACTTGAAATGTAATTCAATTGACGTAATTTCAATTGAGTATAAATCCTTTGAACATTGTTATCAAGTGTTTGAATTGGGCATCGACACCTGCAGATTAATTAGTGGTCTGTCATTGGCTTCACTGTGGCTCATACTCCACCCTGAATCAAAAGAAGTAAAAATCTTAAATGAACCAAACTGTACCACAGAATCTCTATGGATAATAATTCCATGCTTGAATAATAAGAATATAGCAGTAGGGATATACTACCGACCACCTGACCATGATGGTGATAGTGACTGTGAAATGCTCAGGGAGATTAGAGAGGCTATAAAAATTAAAAAATCAATAATAATGAGGGAT